TACTAGCTAATTCTCAGGACCTATTGGCATGGGGAATTCACTGAAGGCTGAACTTTTGGCATTACTACAAGGTCTGAAGCTGGCTAAACAGATGGGATACAGGCATATTGAAGTGGAAGGGGACTCAAAAGTGATCATTTCCTGGGCTGCAAACAGTAGCCATACCCGTGGACATTTAAACATGCAAGGAGGTTGGGGCTGAATTTAAGTGGGTCCGAAGGAGTGCAAATGGGCTAGCTGATTATCAAGCAAAACAAGGGGCATTGAGACGACAACTATTTTGGGCTGCTTTGTAATGAGGGACAGAAAAAAGAGTGATTAAATGGGATCATCAATCCCATCACCAAGTTGTATAAACTATTCCCANACAACTATTTTGGGCTGCTTTGTAATGAGGGACAGAAAAAAGAGTGATTAAATGGGATCATCAATCCCATCACCAAGTTGTATAAACTATTCCCAATCTGAAATTTAAATAAAATTCATGCTTACTGATCAAAAAAAAAAAAATGATTAACTGAACAAATGGAACTGATGCAGCAGAATGCACTTGTTTAGATCAGTTTGAGCCTTTTTGGAGGCTCAAAAAGAAGCTAACAGATCTGAAGAGAACGAAAAAATGGTACGAGAAAGACTTTTGTCCTCATTCTTGTCTTGAAGGAAATTTACGGGAGAACTAGCAAAAACTGAACGTGGAGTCTACTTAGTTTCTGTTATTTTGAGATTGCTATTTATGGTAACTTTTGGAATTACAATTTATAGTAATTCTCATAATTACTATTTCTTAAACTACCCTTATGGTTTAGCTAATTGACTAAGTATACCCCTACTGTTTGACTATTGTCTAACACTACCCCTACTGTTTCTGACAATTGACTAGCTCTACCCTTATCGTTAACATCTGTTAATATTTCGTCAAAACCCATACACACGTGACACCTAAAATTTTTTTAAAACCCAATATTTCCCACGTCCCCTTCCTCTCGACTGGCACCCCCTTCCTCCTTCGACCTCTCTCTCTCACTCCCCTCCTTCATTCTCTTTCTTCCTTTTCTCCTTCCTCTCTTTCTAAAACAAGACACCCTCCTCCAACCTCTCTTCCCTCTGTCTATTTGTGTAGGATAAAAGAATAACAACAGCTCTCACAACCATCGGTAGCTGTGGAGATCTGCAAATTCAATCGTCGTCAGTTGCTATAAAACGCTCAGCCGCAGCGAAATACTGTTAAATACTGGATCAACAAAAGCCATCGGCAGTCATTCATAGTCATCATTCACCGAGCTCAACCCCACCTTCGTTCAAACTGGATCAGCTATGGTCACCATCTTCAATTGATGGTTCGTCTCTGTCCCATCTTCAATTGTGGAGGTCACATGGCTATCAGATCTGCAAGAATAAACCACAGCAGATGGAGCCACCAGAGAGATCGACGGCAAAGGAGAAGAGATCGTGAAGACCATGTCCGAGCTGGAAAAATCCTCTCCTGCTGAGATATTCTCTCAGCACTCTTTCCTTTTCTTCATCTCTACAAGCCCTAGATGAGATCACTTCTCTTCTCAGAGGAGAGAACTGTTTTCAAAGGGATTTAACGGAAGAGTAAAATTGAGATTTCAGCCCTTCTGTCAATATTTAACGGCAATGGTAATTTTTTAAAACAGTAGGGGTAGCGTTAGACAATAGTCAAACAGTAGGGGTATACATAGTCAATTAGCTAAACCATAAGGGTAGTTTAAGAAATAAGCCCTTACTATTTTTAGTAAGTTCGCGGATTACTATTTTTAGTAATTTCTGATGTCTTTAAATTGGAGTAGCTTTAGTGGGATAAAAAAAGTGTTATTAGAGTTGTTTAGAAGTTGGAGTCCTTGTTTGAGTGTCCTTATGGGTTACTTATGGATTTGTCATAGTATTGAAACAATAAGGAGTCGTTTTGGGTTAATTTACTAGTCCAAATTGGAGTCTGAAAGGGGACATTCGAGTTAATAAGTTTGAGTCTATAAATAGAGTCATTGCAATTGAAGTTCAAGAAGAATGATTTGATGAAATAAAGAATGGTTAGTGAACTCTGGTTGTTGCCAGAAACTTTTCTCTTTTTCTCCCTTCTCTCTCTCTCTCTTATTTCTTCTTCTAGGCAATCTATCTCCTTGCCGTTTACCCTGATAGCAAGCATTCTACTTGCTTCACCATCCATATCCTTCATCTCTAATCACCCACAGCCCCTCATTCACCATATAAAGCCCACCACCAGATCCCAAATTAGTAGAACCCCTAGCCCATCCTACATCCGGAACTGAAGAAGAGATGTGGAGAATGTTTTGTATAATAACATAGATCTCATCTCTTATACTCCCCAAGTTTTTCTTGGGTAATAGATTTACAAACAAGGAGATTTATATCTTAAAAGTAGCAAAAAAGAGTTTCTATGTTTAGTGTGGTGCCAGTTTAATGGGTGTTTGTCTTCTCTTTTTTTATCTGGGTTGATCAATCTTCTGTGTTCCCCTTTTCCCCTTTTCTCTTTTTTTTTTAATCAACTCTAACACATTACCTAAATATGATCAAATTTTCTAGCATGTCTAAATTCTGGTTAGGGTTTTTGGTGTAGAACGGGGTCTTGGTGTAAATCCTTTTTGACTCTATCTTGAGTGTATATCTCTATACTCTATTGTAAAGTGGGGTCTTCTGCCCTTTTGCCATACAGATCATTAGTTCATTACATATTAATACAATTACATCATTTATCAAAAAAATGGTTCATTTTTCTACCCATGTCCAAATCAAGGTCAACTTTTCAAACCCCATCCAAATTTATCCCAACCCAGTCATCAGTTAAATCCACACATTAACAAACTCACTCATGATGAACTCCTTCCTGCTTCTACTCCATTTCCACTCCCAATCTTCTTGGTTAATCGCCTTCCTGGTATATCTATCAAATTTAAATAAATAAAGTATATCCAAACAAATTGATGAGAGTTATCCCAAGGTTTAATATGTTTAGTTTCCAAAAAAAAAGTGGGATACAAATGCTTGTCCCTTTAGAGATATAGAAACAATAAATTGTTGCTGGTTTGAAATTAAAAAAGGGAGAAGAAGCAAAGAGAAGAGATAGAAAGGAGAATGAGATTTTGGAAGAAAAGCAAAATGCCAGGCATGTTCCCCTTTTTCACACGCACAATAATACCCCTGACCACCACCCATAATAAGAAAAGCAAAAAACAGCAATAAGAATAAACTATAAAGTTATAACAGCAGCAGTAAAACAACAATGAAAAATATAAATCTAAAGAGATCTCTCAACACAAAGGAACACAAGGATTTATATAGCCAATTAATTAATAAGAAAATATGAATGCTAAATTTAAAACAGATTATATTGGAATAATCAAGTACCACACCCAACAGTAGCAACATCCTCAAACAAGAGAATGAATATGCAGAACAAAGAAAAATACAATAACTCAAAATCTATCACATTGGCCTCAGCTCTGACATGTATTGACACAAAAATAGGAAAAACATTTAATGTGGTAGCTTGCAAGTTACTAGAATTGACATCAAATTAAAAAGGGGGGGGACCACATGTATGCCACAAACCGGATCTAAGGCAATGCAGTCATCAAGCCATTGCACAGTCCGATCCACTGAAGTCCTATTTCTCTTTTCAGAAGTCCATGCAGGCACTTCATCTGCCAAACTAGCCCATATATTTGGCTTCAATGATGAAATCATCTTCATATACTCCGCAGATTTTATCTGCAGAGAAAATTTTAGTTGAGAAAGAATCTAGATGATTTATCATATTCAGAAGCAGCCAGAAAGCATTACCAACATTCGACCACAAGGTGTCTCAAAGGAAGCTCCAATTTTGTTGGTGCCATCACAATTGGGAAGGCAAAGAAGAGAATCTCTAGGAACAGCTGCAAAGCTATACCCATGCAATCCTAGCATCTGGTGCAAACCTCCAATTTTTGAAATAGCTTTTAGAGAAGGACAGTCCAAACTGCAGATCCATGGTTGCAAACAAATTAGTAGGCTTTAACTAAATATATAAATTTTGAGAGATKGTAGTAAAAAATGAGTATATGCAACTCTTAAATACCTCACCTACAGACATTGTAGGACCCATTACCCATGAAACCCATGACTAACTTTGTTTTGTAGTGTCTTTTCATAGGTCCCACTATGCATGTAGGACAAGGTATCCAATAGTAACATTAACTCGTTCTTTTCCTCAAAAAAAAAATTTCCTTACAGGGAAATTGTTTAAAGACTTCATTTTGATATTATGAAATAGCTTATTTTGATTAACAATTAAAGGGCCCAAGATTGGAAAACTCAAGTACGCACTCAATAGGTTGTGCTGTTGTGAAAATGGTATTAATAGAATACAATTTCATGGCAAAATTGCTATAATGGCTTCAAATAGAAGGTCATGTTTTCTATAAGTTTCTTTAGTTTCCAGTTTAAAAGCATCTTTCTCTAATTCTCAGTATAAAAGTGTCAACTAGTTGACTGACTGGTCAATAGAGAGCTAGATCAACTGTATCACGAACTCATTGGTTTCCACTCATGATTCTACCTACTCAAACAACCGACAGCAACTAGATCAACTAGTTGACCACAAAGTTATTTTAAAGCTTTTTGTATTTGTATTTATCTCTAGTTATTTAATGTTTTAATTTGTTATATGCACACTGTTGCTTTAACCTTTAAGTATTTCTGATGGAATGTGGTATGTTGATTGTATATAAAATAAAAAATAAGGGATAAAGATGAAAGTGGAGAGGTTCTTTTTTCTTTGAACCAATAGTGAGGTACAGAGTTGCCAGAAACAAGGAGTACATCAAATGATCAAAGGTTGCACCATTCTTTGAAAAAACAATGGATAAACTCCATATCCTAGCCCATCCAGCTTAACTTTCTTTATTTTGGGAAAAATAAATGTTTAGTTTCATCATTCTAGTACATACTTGCAACCTAATGTTAACTTAACTATGGGATTTCTTAAATTTGAAAAATATATTTCTTTCTGCTCAACTAGTCAAAACCTAAGAACCAACTAGTCATCACTCCACTGCAATTATAAAACTACAAATCTGCAATTAACCAGTTTTACTTTAGTGTTTGTTTATAAAAAGACCTTAATAGGCTATCAGATAGTAAGCCTTTCCAATTCTAATGCTCCTAGGGTTAAAATTTAAAAAGTGTAATAGGGATCTGCTGCTTAGCTCATCCAAATAGTTAGCAGGCCCTATGTACTATTTAAACACCCTAGCTGTTCTTTAAAAGTGTGACTTTCCTTATTTGATGGTGTGGTACTATCAACAGTCATGCTTGATCTTCATAACTCCACTCTTCTATGTCAATAGAAATTGTGATACCCTACCTTAACATGTCTTCTTTAATTGTTAGTATTTCTTTAAACTAACATGCAATATTTCATTTGTTCCAGACGATACCAGCTTGCAATATCCTACCATATATCATCATACAAACTCAAGTTCCATCTACCGTTTACAGAAACCCATTCAACAGACCTCTTTAGTATTTCTATGATGGCTGGTCTTTTGAGCTGAAGGTGGCTCGGATTCTAGAATATGGGGTCCTAATTCTGTGGGGGATTTCTCTTGCAAGTCCTTTCATTCTTTGGTTGCCACCTCTTCTTCCTATTCTTTCCCAGTAAAGGAAGTCTGGTGTTCTCCCATTCCCCCTAAAATTAGCGCCTTCTGCTGGGAAGTGCTTCATGGAAGCATTAATACCTTTGATTTACTTCAAGGAAGAGACCAAACTGGTGTTTGTCCCCCAACAGGTGTGTTCTTTGCAAGTTGAATGGTGAGACTGCGATTCATCTTCTTATCTCTTGCCTGTTTATTAGCTTTCTTTGTGATTGGTTTACTTCTCTCTTTGGATGTAGGTGATCTTCTCCTGATAGGTTGGAGGGTTTGTTTAGCCCTACTAGCATTAGCTGTACAAAAAAGAGGGGTAGGACCTTGTGGAGATGCACTAGAGCAGCACTAATTTGGATTGTGTGGGAGGAAAGAAATGCAAGAATATTTGAAGAGAAGGAATGAAGCAAGGAAGCTTTGGTTGAAACTATAACATTGAGGGTAGCTCATTGGGAAAAAAGTTTGAAGCTGTTCTCGGATTTCAAGATTGAAGATTTCTTCAGAGCTTGGGGTACCATCGCTGCATCCTCAACTACAAGACAAAGATCTGTTGAGGTTTGGTCTCCTCCAATAAATGGTTGGAAGAAACTGAATTTTGATGGGAGCTGTTTGGGTAACCCAGGGCCCTCAGGTATTGTGGGAATCATTAGGGATGAAGAGGGGAACATAATTGCTTTATACTCTGGCCCTGTGGAGCAGGGTGATGTGGCAAGATCAGAGTTTTTGGCTGCAGTTTTTGGGGTTGAGAAGGCAAAAGAACTTGGTATTAGAAGGCTGATTATTGAGGGAGATTCTAAAACTGTGATTAAGTGGCTGGTTAAAGAGGAAGGGGTGGCATGGCATTTGAGGAATGTATTCAGAAAACTCAAATGGCTGTCACAGGACATGTTAATCCAAGTGAAATGGGTGAGGAGGACTGCAAATAGCTTGGCAGATATAGCCAAGCAAGGGGTACATAGAACACACATGTTTTGGGCTCAAATGTAGTACTGAATTGGGACAGTTTCTATAGCTGGTTCCTTTCACAACTTCTTGTTGTAATCATGTTTCTCACATAATTAATGAAATTGTTTATGTTGCTGATAAAAAAAAGACCTCTTTAGCCAATTTGAGGTTGTTAAAAGATACTGAAAATCTTTGCTTCCATTCTTATGAGCCTATTTGGATAAACTGATTTGTAGTCATATATATTAAATATAAATAGGCTATGTTCATCCCTCCCTATGGCTGCAAATGGATCAGATGAGAATTGGATGTACCTAGATCCAAATTTTGATCCATAAGTATTCATATTTGATTTGAATCTTCTCCATCAGATTCAGATTGAAATAGAAATTGCATACCCTTAATAGGGATGAACATTCCTAGCCCAGGCTGGACACACACACACACACAGATATATATATATATATATATATATATATTCAAATAGGTTCAATGCCCCTTATCAGTAATATAGGACCTTTGACCAGTGTTCTCAGGCTCGGACCAGACCAGACAATTGAACCAACGAGCCAATGAATCAGTGATCTTTCTGGGTTCCAATTAAATGACAATCTGAACAGGCTAACCAACCAGTTTACTGGTAAAACTGTGACCCAGTCAGCACTCCAGTTTTATCTGGTCCAATCCGGATAACATTGCCCCTAACCCTAATAAATTAACTAAAAAATGATCAAAATATTAATATATTATTAATAGAAGGAATTAGAAATAACTCTGCTATGATATACAATGAATAAAATGACTTAAAAATAACTTCTGTGAGACTTTAACATGTCAAAGGATTGAATTCAGATCCCCCTTCGAATGGATGGGAGTTTATTTCAGATTTGGACGGTGGACACCGTTTATTAGCCCTATCCAGCTATCCCCCACCCACCCCACCTCAACTCAAGTACACACTTAAGGAGTGACAGGAACCAATAACTTCTGTGAGACTTGAACGTACCAAAGGATTGAATTCTGATTGGATGGGATTTTAATTCGGATCCTTAAGTACACTCTTAAGGAGTGACGGGAACCAATAACTTCTATGAGAGTTGAACATAGGATTGAATTCTCATCCCTTTGATTGGATGGGACTGTCATGGACCTCTTCTCATTGCTGAGAAGAGAGGCCTAGGTTTCCCCAAGATATAGTATTGACACCGCTCGAAGGGGATACGTCGGAGAGCCAAAAGAAGGTTACAAGGAAATTTTGATTCAAAAGGGCGAGCTATCTTTACTTCATTTCGCTATTTATAAGTAAAGTCGGTCACAAATGATTGACACATCAGCACAGTCATAACCAAAATGATTGGAAATGGTAACCACCTAATCATTGGCTTTTTAACCGTTAGCTTGCAGGGTGATAGGGGGAATATTCCTCGATGCTAGGTGATGGATGTGTGACATTCCTCCTCCTTAAGAGGCATCTCATCCTCAAGACGGAATTCAGGAAATTGCTACATGATTTAAGGCAAGAGCTCCCACGTGGCATCCGCTCTCAAGATACCTTCCCATTGGACAAAATCTCTATAACTGCCTAGTTCCTCTGTCTCGTCATTCGCCAATCCAAAATTGCCTTCAGGTTGGGAAGAAAGGATCCATCGGGTGCTAGTAGAGAAAGTGTGGTGTTGATCTGAGTCGAGTCTCCCACTGCCTTCTGAAGGGATGGGAGATTCATCATATGGATGGCCGAACCATGCAGGGTGGTTGGGCGAAATATCAAAAATTTCTTTCTCCCATCCGGGAATCCTATTCCCTGATTTAGAAACTGCATTTTTCGATGTTCATTCATGAAACAAACCGGACCAAATCTGAAACCAAAATTAGAGAGAAGAATACCTAATACGRAATCCACGCAAAAAGCTCCTCCCAACGTAGGTGTTCACGCCCAAAGAGGTTACCAAATCTGCTTCCACTGAAGATGACACAGCAAATGTTGAGGCAAGATCAGCAAGAAGGGTTCTTCAACAAGAATCATGTAGGGTTGTGTGAGCACAACTTCAGATTGTTTCTTCACCAAGAAACAATATAAAGAACAGTTCTTGATCACTCCAAGAGGTGGAGGTTGAACTGGGTAGGGCGGCAAGAGCAGAGAGAGAACAGGATTRMAGAAAAGATGTGTTCTTTCTGTAGAATTCACCCCCTATTTATAACCTTCTCTAGATCAGCTTCCTAATCCAATTAGGAATAAATTTCTTGATCCAAATCTAATATTTGGATCTGGACTCTCAAGTGGATAAAACTTATCTTATCCAACTGCTAATCCTAATCAGATCATAAACTCAAATTCACCCATTTAATTAAAACACTTAAGCCCAGTTTGAAATGGACCTTAGGCCCATTA